CTTGAGTCGTTAGTCAACCTATTTAAAACAGGGTTGGAATAAGAGAAATCTAATTTACATTTTTATGTAACTTTTTCTCTTTTTTGCAGTTTCGTGCACTCAGAAAGTCTTGACCATTTCTTGAAGGGAAAATTTGCAATTGTAGTCAATTTCCCATTAAAAGTTTGAGAGAAACATGATACTTCTTAAAGAACCTCTATTTGTTGCGCAGCTGTAGTCATTATAATTCTTTGAGATCCTCTGCTGAAAGGCACTATTTAAAGCACAAAGTACTTTTGAATATTAACTCATTAATCCTAACTACACCCTTGTGGGGAAGGTAGGTGGCAAAATGACTCATTCAAGGCCATATTAGGAAGTCAGTGGTAGAGTTTGGCACTTGGGAGAAGAGTTTCTAGACTTTTTAGAAGTGCTTTTCTCACTGAATTAGTCCTGTCGGCTAGGAAGGGATCGGCAGGGAGTCCGTGGACAGCCTTGGCGGTCACATATGTTCACTCATTCAACATACCGTTCAGAGTTCTTGTCTGCAAACAACACAGATCAGCTCAGAATCTGGGGAGGAACTTATTGGAAGGACAACCTCTTGCTCAGAGTATCGTGAGGTGTCTCAGGAACCAGGCCCAGGTAACGGGCAGAGGCAGGGCGAGTCTGAACCTTGGGTACCAGGGATGGTGTGGAGTAAGCCCTAGACCCTGCATTTCGGCATCCATCATCCACAGCCTCAGAAGAAACATCCAGTTGACTTGAGTTCATGTAATACCAGGTTCCGCGTAACAAAAAGGAAGACAATGGAAGACATTTGGAAAGGCTCAACCATCTCCCGTGTGCTGGGCTCTGAGTAACAGGTGTACTACAGGGAGGAAGATGAACGTGCGTCCCCTGGAGCTCGGATGTGAAGGAGGCTGCCTGGGGGAAGAGCAGAGCCTGTCACTGCCGTTGCTCAGTCGCTCAGTTGTGTCCGGCTCTTTGTGACCCCACGGACTGCAGCACGCCAGGCTCCTCTGTCCTCCACTATCTCCTGGAGTTTGCTCAAACTCATGTCAAGAGTTTGAGTCAGAGATGTTACGTAACCATCTCATCCTCTGCCTGCCCCTTCTGTTTTTGCCTGTGGCTACAGGGGCCCTAACAGGAGTGAGAGACAGAATGCTGGGTTGGGAGGGGTCAAGGTGGGCTTCCTAGAGGAGGTGAGCTCTTGCATAGATCTGGAAAGACAAGTGGCCATTTGTGCTAAGTTGCTTCAATGGTGTCCAACTCTTTGCGACCCCATGGACTGTAGCCCGCCAGGCTCCTCTGTCCACGGGATTCTGCAGGCAGGAATACTGGAGTGGGTTGCCATGCCCTCCTCCACGGGATCTTCCCCATCCAGGGATCTAAGCCACATCTCTTACGTCTCCTGAGCTGTCAGGCAGGTTCTTTACCAATACTGTCACCTGAGAAGCTCAATTTACCACGTGGGAAAGGAGAGGGGAACTGAAGCGATTCCTTCAGGCCTAAGAAACGACAAGGTCAGTGGCACAGACATAAAGGAGAACAGGCGGGCTTTGCATTGTGACTGATCCGTGATTCACAGAATGGGCGGCAGGAGAAGGTAGAGAAAGTGAGCTGTGCCGGAAACTGGACTTTTCCTGGGAATCAAGGGAACACGGCCGGGAAGATTCAACAGTGTCTCTTTAGGTTCCTGCAGGACCCCATGGGGGCTTGGGCTACTGGTTGACCGCTGTGTCTTCAATTCCATGATGCTCTGGCTGGGCTTTGAGCCTTCGCTTGTGCTGTTCCTTCCTGCTGAGACACCTTTCCCTCACCGATTCTGGCTGCTCCACGTCGGTGCTGCAAGACAGGAGGAGATGGAGCATTCTTAGGGCTGGGCGTCAAGCCATGAGGGTGGAAGCTAATTATGGCCAGAAATATACATTTTCTTTCTGCCCCATATAATGCTGAGCTATTAGCACAAACTTAACGAATGTTCTTCAACAGAAAGAATGAATATTACCACAATATGAAGTTTAAAAAAGAAAAAAGAGGAGAGCCAACATTTCAAGAACAAATTCACCATCTCTTCCTCAGCTCAGTAAACTGAATTCTGAGTCTCCTGGGCTCTTATTTTAACCCTGACTTGAGCGAAACTTCAGTGTCAAATCTCAGGTGACTGACATTTGCTGCTCTCACTGCTTTGGGCGCATGCGTGCTGGGTGTGCTAAGCTGCTTCAGTCGTGTCCAATTCTCTGCGACCCCGTAGACTGTATGTAGCCCACCAGGCTCCTCTGTCCATGGGATTCTCCAGGCAAGAATACTGGAGTGGGTTGCCATGCCCTCCTCCAGAGGATCTTCCCAACCCAGGGATCAAACCTATGTCTCTTACGTCTTCTGTATTGGCAGGGGGCTTTTTCTTTACCACTAGCGCCACCTGGGAAGTGAGATTACTGGTTCCCGTGGTAATTTTATGTTTAACTTTCTTAAGAAACCACCACACTATTTTCCATCATGGCTGCACCATTCTACATTCCTGCCAGGCATGCACAGAGGTTCCAATTGCTCCACATCCTCACCAACAATCTTTCTTTTCCTTTTTTTTTTTTTTTTTTAAATAACAGCCCTCCTAAGCAGTGTGAAGTGGGTATCTCATTGTGTTGTTTTACCTGCTAAATACTTCTCAGCTACACACCCTCTCTCCATTATACCCCGGGGGATCTGGTTCACTGGGATTGTTACAACTGTTCCCTGCAGGATACGTGGCCTGTGGGCTTATGCCCCGCCCAGGGCTGACAGCTGCGCAGGCGCGGGGGCTGTGCATGCAGGGCGGGGAGCACCTGCGGGGAGCGTGCACACCAGGCGGGGAGCACGGCGCTGGCCCTGGGGGTGGGGTCGGGGTGCACACGGCCTGCAGGCGTCTGCTGTCCTGCCCCCCTCACTGCAGCCCTGAGCCTCTTTCTCAAATGCGAGCCCTTGTTTTAACTTCCAGGGCTCCGTGTCGGAGCTGCCCACAGCTCAGGACACTGGGAACCTTACACTGACCAAGTCACTTTCTTAGGATCTCTAGTCAGTATCTGATGGATCACAGAGTTGTCAGGTCCTCGGAGGCAATAAATACGTGTCTTCACCTTTCTATCCCCAGACGCTCACACAGGCCCGGGTACTAAGCAAATGCCTCACAGGTGTTTTTGATTCACTGAGGGGAAGAAAAAGTTCCCTGCTCCTCCTCATTCCAGGAAGCTTGTCCCTCTCATCTGCTGGCCCCCTGTGGCCAAGTTTCTCTTGTCTCATCCTTGTCGGGCTAAACCCTTTGGCTTCCTGTTGGAGCTGCACTTCTCCACAAAGCCTGGCCTTATTCTCTGCTCTACTAACTTATCTCTTAAGCGCCAATACTTTGGCCACCTGATACAAAGAGCCTACTCAGTGGAAAAGACACTGATGTGAGAAAAGATTGAGGGCAGGAGGAGAAGGAGGTGACAGAGGATGAGATGGTTGGGTGGCATCACCGACTCAATGGACATGAGTTTTAGTAAACTCCGGGAGGTGGTGAAGGACAGGGAGGCCTGGTATGCTGCAGTCTGTGGGGCTGCAAAAAGTTGGACATGACTTATTGACTAAACAATAATTCTCTGCTCTAAATTCATCTTTTCCTCCTTTGGAGAGCATTGAATCCACTCTGCACTTCATAGAGGAGAGCACAGAGGCCAGAAAGGGCCAGATTCACTCGCTGGTGGGATTTGGTCTGGAACCAAGACTTCCAGCCCAGAGCTGGTGTTCAGCCGTGGCTCCACCCCCCTCATGGGACCTTCACCATCTGGAGCTCGTGACCTGGGTCTAGCACTGTTCTCATCAGGGCGGGACAGAGGCCTTTGTCATATGCTAATGGCCCAGTCCCAGTCTGGCAGCCAATACTTTGGTACCTCTAATAGAGCTACACAACATTTATTTAGCAGAGTTAGGGAGATGTTGATCCGACTCTATAAGTAAATAATAGTCTACAAATGATAGAGTGTATCTCTTTATTCAGATCAGATCTTGAACTTTGCTCCATTCACTGAATGTGGCAAAATGTAAGTCACTTGGAACCATCTTTCACGAACCTATATCTGTCACTCACGATGGGACAGTGTCGATCACATACAGTCATTTCCTCATTCCTTGGACAGACCCTGGTGCAGCCCTTCTGTGCCACGTCCCATGTGGGAGCTGAGGAATCACAAAGCAATCACAGCGCCTGCCATCAGAGTGGAGGAGGGTACAAACAAACCTCTCACCAGTGAGCGTGCAAAGGGGGGAACGAGAGTGCAGTCAGGGAGGCCTCCCTGAGAGGGGGGCCCAGGTGAGACCTGGCTGGTGGAAGTTGGGGGGGACTGGCCTCATGTCGGAGCCAACAGGACAGTGGTGGCCAGAACACAGGTGTCAGGCCTGAGGGACAAGACCTTGGGCTTCATGCTGGGCATTGAGGCCACACCTAGGATGTGAAATTCTGAGCAGAAAAACAAAGGGGAGCCCTGGAAGGCATCTCCAGCCAGTGTGGTCCTGACAGTGTTGACTTAAAAATTAATCACAGCCTAAAAGTTGAGAGCTATGTTTAATTCGGTGGGAATTTTTAGGACTTCAAACCCAGGGGACACCATCTCAACTGATTCTGAGAGAACTGCTCTGAGGCGAGGAGAGGAGCCAGGTTATACAGAAGCTTTACAACAAAGGCCAGGTCATCTGAACATCAGAAGGTTATTGTTAATGAAAGGAAACTCCATATCCCAAGTTATGCATTCAGAGCTTTTCTACGTGTGGGAGGATGCAAGAGTCTGGGCTCGCTGGAATCATCCCCTTCACATGCATCTCAGCCCTCCTGGCCCAGCATCCTGTGTCTTCACATCCCGAGCTGCCGTGGGGCTCACCGTCGGGAGTGGCTGCAGCCTGAAGGCTGGCATTCTTCTCCTTCCCGAGTGCCCCCGGGGCTCACGTTGGCGTGCTGGGCTCCCCATGACTGTGACATCTTTGTTTACTGACATGGCAGGCACTCGTTCACTTCTCAACAGGATCGGGTTTCCATTCCAGCTGCAGCTTGGAGAGTAGATTGGAATAAGTGGCCCTGGAGAAGTCTGGAAAAGAAGTGACAGTGATTAAACCAGTCTGGCGCCCAGGGGTCAGAAGGGTTTGAGACACAGAGGGAAAGGAATCAATGGAAATTAGTGTGAGGGCTGGGGTGACACAGAGAAGGTCCAGCTTGTCCAAACGGACAATGGGAACACTGTCCTCCTTGAACCCGAGGCGCCTTTGAGACGTCCCAGGGGAGACACCAGGGGTATACGGGTGAGTGGTGGTGTTTAGAGGAAGGATCTGGACTCGAGCGGCAGCTGAGTTTGGGAGGGGCTGGGTCCAAGTGCAGAGGCGACCGGGCAGACCAGGGAGGCGGGCAGGGGCCACGTGACCCAGCAGCAGTGGGAGGGAGTGTCCAGGAGGCAGGGGTCACCTAAGAGCCCGAGAGGGGGACACGTAGTGTCCATTACATTTAGGAGCAACAGCTGAGTCCATGGTAGGAGAGGGCAGGGCCAGACTCTTGGGGTCAAATTGAGCAGGGAAGTGGGGGAGCAGCCTGCTGCTGGGGCACACCTCTGTGGACTTGGTGTGATGGGGGGAGGGCACCAGGGGGCAGGCTGGAGGCCGTGCAGGTCCGGAAGTCTCCTGCGTGCGTGAATGAGCAGGAGCAAATGCAGCTCTCTGCAGGAAGAGCTGGTGCCGGAGGAGCTGCCCGGCAGCTCAGGGCGGGCCGGCTACCAGGGCTGGTTTCGGGGCTAGTGGGAAGCAGGCGGGCCATGCCACCCAGATTCGCCTGGAATAAGAAAAACTCTCTGTCCTCTGATTGAACAGAAGGGAGGGAGATGGATGCGGGCAGACATGGGAGGCGGCATCACCTGGCAGAGAGAGAGAGGGTCGGGGAGATGTGAGAGGATGGGGAAAGTTGGATGCACGGACAGTGAACCAGCAGACCAGAAAGTGCTGCTGAGTGCCAGGTATGCAGGCCTGTTTTGAGTCCTGATGCTAAGTGAAGGCTGACTCCAGGGTCCCATCATGTGTCTTTATATGGCCCCTCCTAGCCCCTCTCATGCTGATCCAGGGCAAGAAGATATTGGGCTTTTTTTGGTTTTTTTTTTGAGTAGAAGTTTTGCCAGGTGATGTGCAAAAATGGGGAGGGGTGGAATTGAAGGTCCCCATCATGGATCCAAGCTGAGTAAGAAGGAAATCAAGGAAGAGAGAGGAGGGTCTGTGGAGCAGGACAAGCTGAGAAAAGAGGCCAGCTTCCGTCCTGGGGAGATGCCACTGCATGGGGTGTGTGTTGGGCTCAGCGTCTCAGCTGAGAGCCCTGATGACAGAGCTGGAGACCGCTACTCCTAGGCCACGTCATCTCTTCCCGAGCAGGTGTGTCTTGGACTCTGCTGACAGAATGGCTGCAGAAGCACCAGCCATTACAGCCACAGGCACAGAGTTGGGGGGAAGAGAGGACCTGCCCATCCTCAAACCACATCCAGAGCCCGGGGTGCAGCCACATTCCTCCTCCCAACCCAGGCCGCCCATGGGAAGCAGCCCCTGACTGGGGTGCCTGCTCACACAGCCTTGTAGGGTCCTGTCCCCCAGGAGGTGGCCCCCCCAGAGGACGGGGCATGCTGTGGCTTTCAGGGGTGCTGAGAACCTACTGTGCCATGGGGGCTTTGGCACGAACGTCTTTGCCTGGTCATCGGAACAGCCTATTTAACTGGCACTGTGGTCCCCGATGGGCAGAGTCAGACCTGCCTGGCCTCACGCAGGGAGCAGAAACATCTCTGAAATCAGGAAGCAGCTCTTCGAACTCCACCGAGCACCCACTCATGGTGCCATGTGTCATCAAAGCAGCTGCAGATTCCTGAGAAATGCTGAATTAAACCAACTGCTTGGGCTGGATGGGGGCATCCTAGGTCGCACAAGTTGTAAAGAACTTGTCTGCCGATGCAGGAGACATTAAGAACGCAGTTTCAATTCCCGAGTCAGGAAGATCCCCTGGAGCAGGAAATGGCAACCCACTCCAGTACTCTTGCCCGGGAAATCCCATGGACAGAGGAGCCTGGTGGGCTACAGTCCGTAGGGTCGCAAGGGTCACACATGACTGAAGCGACTAAAGCACACACACGTGCCCAGGGCTGAGGAGGGGAGGAACTGGGGGTTGACTGCAGCTGGGCTTGGGGTTTCTTCGGAGCCAGAGGAAGTGTGCTGCAATCAGAGAGTGGGGTCAGGAGCAGAATCTCATGGATATTCTAAGACGATAGAACTGTACTCCTTAAAATGATGAATTTCTTGTGTGTGAATATATTAATGTCACAATAAAAAGTGGAAAAATACTATGTCAAAAATTATCATAAATAAAGATTGTTGTTAGTTAGTTGCTCAGTTGTGTCCGACTCTTGCAACCCAGTGGACTGACTGCAGCGTGCCAGGCTCCTCTGTCCATGGCATTCTCCCAGCAAGAGTACTGGAGCGGGTTGCCATGCCCTCCTGCAGGGAATCGTCCCAACCCAGGGATCAAACCCACAGCTTCTGCTTGGCAGGCAGATTCTTTACCACTGAGACCCCTGGGAAGCTCCATATAAGTAATACCAAAGGTCAAAAAATATCTTAGAAAACCTTTTTTTTATATCCATCATTCTGTGGCTTAATTTCCCTTCAGCCAAAAGGCCTTCCATTAATGTGGGCTTTTTAGTAACTACAGGAAATAACAAATGGGACGGTATGATTTTAAAGTTATTCTCCCAAAGGATTTCAGGAGTCACAAATCGTGGGAGGGGAACAGAATCGTCCTGCGGTGCTACTCGGACGCCACGAGGACAGTAGGTTGAGGTCGTCCGCGGGCCCCCGACGTCCCCGGGTACGGGAAGGCACCCTGTGCTCAGCTTCTGCCTGAGCCCCCGGCTCTGATCAGCTTTGGAAAATAAAGATGCCCAAATCAGTAGATTTCTTAGAAGAACCTCAGGACTCCTCAAGCTAAACATTATTCACTACTAGTGAGGTAACTGGGCTGATCTATTTTCTAAAATAACCCCTGGCAGCAAACATTGACTTAAATTTTCAAAGGAAAATCTTGGGCAAAAGATGAAGCGTGTAACCCACATAGTTTATGATGCAGCCAGTGCAGGAATGTTTGAAAGCAGAGGCGGTAGGAAAAATAATAAATAAAACGGGAAAAGATTACAAAGGAAGAAAAGTTACCACGTTGACTCTGGCCATACATGGCTACACAAACAAGGGCCTCTCAGAACTACAGCGTGGAGCGTGCCCGTTGTATTCTTAGCAAGCACCAGTGTCTCCTGCATCCTCCCAGTATTCCATTTCTCCAGGCCTTCAGTTTCCTTATTTGGGGCTCTCATTACTCTGAAGCTCTGGGAGGATTTTAAGATCCTCCAAGGAGGATGGGTTTCCACCCTCCCCTCCTGCCTTCCCTCACCCGCTCCCACCCAGGCGCTCCCGGGAGGCAGTGAGTTCCTGAGGATCTCGTGACTCAGGAAACCCCACTTCTCGTCCTGGGCCTGGGACACAGATGACCTAGACAGCCACTGCCCTGTGGCATGACTCTCTCAATGGTCCATCTGGAAAGTCACCTGGTCCGCAGAGTGTGTCTACACGGGATCCGTTTCAGAGGGATACAAAGAGGACCCAGTGGCAGAAAGACACTGAGGCTAAGAAGGTGACAATCTAGCCTAAGTCTTTCCCCAGTCGAAGGTCGAAGGGTTGATCATGTTTCTAGCAGCTACAGAAGAACTTGGGGGCAATAAACCACCCTCACAACTGGTCTCAACTTTACAAAAATGAAAGTAGTAGGTGCAAGATACTCGACATTTGGAAAACAGGGCCGTAAAACTCCTCGGAAACCAGTGGGACCTAGAGAGGGGATAAGGCCCAGTAGGATCCTGGTTAATCCGCTGTAGTCTGACCTCCAGCCCAGAAAGGGAAGGCCTCGGACAGACAGCAGGGAGGGAACACTGAGACAGGGCGGATGGCTTGAGCATCGCCGCAGAACGGATGCTTCCCACATAGGGGCAGTTCACGTTTCAGAAGAGAGACGTTCTGTCGGGACAGTCACTTGTGCAGACCTTGGGGATGGCGCTGCCTTAGGCTGAACTGCGTGGAATCCCTAACGTTGAACTGGTTTTTTACAAACATGGCAATTTCATATTCACTTCAGCCAAAGAATTGAATTTTCTTGGTAGTTTGTTTGTTAGCTTCCTTTGGGGGAGCTATTGAAGGTTTTCATTATTTGGAGGCGTCAGTCATCGTCCTTGGGAAGTTACTTTAGGAGAAGTTCTCTCTACCAGAAGATCCCCTGGAGGAGGGCATGGCACCCACTCCAGTATTCTTGCCTGGAGGATTCCATGCACTGAGGAGCCATGCTGGGTCCAAGAGTCGGAGAGGACTTTGGACTTGGCAGGCATGCACCCTCCCTCTTCCTGCTCCTTCCTGCAGAAACTCTCCTCCCCCTTCTTGTCCTCCTCCGCAGCCCGCTCCTGTCCACACCTGCCGGCTGCCCCCTCCTGGGGGCCGTCTCCCCAGGAGCCCTCTGCTCCAGGTACACGGGCTGATACAAGCAGGTGGCTGCAGCCTTGCAGAGGCCTCTCACACGGGTTCAGTAAACCTAGAGCAGGAAGCCCTCGCTGGAAGGGCGGCGGGAAGCCAGGCCCAGATGCCGTACTTCATAAGGCTTCTCCAGGACTCTGCGGTGTCCAGACACTTAGACCAGGGTGATGGAAGGGAAGGAGCCCCACCTCAGCAGAGCCCCAGCTGCCCCATCCTGGTGTTTGATGCACAATGTCTTAGAGAGAAAGGAGATCAGGGAAATTGCAGAGGGAAATTGCTGCGTGGGGACCAGTGGCGTGGAGATCAGGGCATCCTAGATTAGTCACATCTGCAAAGCTCTGCTCTTATAACGGAATGTCCTGGGGGCATCTGGGGGAGGGCGTGCAGAGAAAAAGTGATGTTAAAAAGTAACTGCAGTCTCATAATTGCTCAAATACAGCTTGAGGTCTCAGGATGGTGGTGGGGGGGACACTACAGCCGTGTGACACTGAAATGACCTGCCGGACTGCTGACACTTGCCAGAGTCTCTGCGGCCAAGGTCACCGCTCCCCGACCCCTGGGCTCACTCCCATTTCCACCCCCGCTCCCCCGCCCCCCGGGAATTCTGTCTGCAGCCCCACGTGTGACTCTGACACGGACTTGTCAGCATCAGTCGGCCTCTTGGCCCGTGTGTTCTGAGTCCTGGATCCACTGTTGTAGCTCTGAGATCGCACGTGGGCTCAGAAGGGACTGAAGTCCCACTGCCGCCTGCATCCCCGGCGCTGGGGGGTCAGGGTCACCCTTCCCCGCCGTGACCCCTGACCCCGCCACACACCCCCACTTCCACACACATGAATCCTGAGAGGCAACGCTGGACCTCGTGGCCCTGCAGCCTCGAGGGCAGACCCCAGGCCCGGGCACAGGGTGCCCAGGGAGGCAGTGAGGGGGGGCCCGGCCCCCCCTCAGGCGTGGTTTGGAGGCTGAGTTAGGGCGAGCCGCTTGCCCAAGCTGGCGCCTTTGTGAAAAAGAGGGGAACCGGGCTCGGCGTGTGTGAAGGGGGGTCCCTCCGCTCCCTCTGCGCCTTCTCAGCGTCAGAAGGGCGGCGGGAAGCCAGGCCCAGATGCCGTACTTCATAAGGCTTCTCCAGGACTCTGTGGTGTCCAGACACTTAGACCGGGGTGGTGGAAGGGAAGGAGCCCCACCTCAGCAGAGCCCCAGCTGCTCCATCCTGGCGTTTGATGCACAATGTCTTAGAGAGAAAGGAGATCAGGGAAATTGCAGAGGGAACTTGCTGCGTGGGGACCAGTGGCGTGGAGATCAGGGCATCCTAGATTAGTCACATCTGCAAAGCTCTGCTCTTATAATGGAATGTCCTGGGGGCATTTGGGGGAGGGCGTGCAGAGAAAAAGTGATGCTAAAAAGTAACTGCAGTCTCATAATTGCTCAAATATAGCTTGAGGTCTCAGGATGGTGGTAGGGGGGGACACTACAGCCGTGTGACACTGAAATGACCTGCCGGACTGCTGACACGTGCCAGTCTCTGAGGCCAAGGTCACCGCTCCCCAACCCCTGGGCTCACTCCCATTTCCACCCCTGCTCCCCCGCCCCCCGGGAATTCTGTCTGCAGCCCCACGTGTGACTCTGACATGGACTTGTCAGCATCAGTCGGCCTCTTGGCCAGTGTGTTCTGAGTCCTGGATCCACTGTTGTAGCTCTGAGATCGCACGTGGGCTCAGAAGGGACTGAAGTCCCACTGCCGCCTGCATCCCCGGCGCTGGGGGGTCAGGGTCACCCTTCCCCGCCGTGACCCCTGACCCCGCCACACACCCCCACTTCCACACACATGAATCCTGAGAGGCAACGCTGGACCTCGTGGCCCTGCAGCCTCGAGGGCAGACCCCAGGCCCGGGCACAGAGTGCCCAGGGAGGCAGTGAGGGGGGGCCCGGCCCCCCCTCAGGCGTGGTTTGGAGGCTGAGTTAGGGCGAGCCGCTTGCCCACGGTGGCACATTTGTGAAAAGGAGGGGAACCGGGCTCGGCGTGTGTGAAGGGGGGTCCCTCCGCTCCCTCTGCGCCTTCTCAGCGTCCGCGCCCTGAATGGTCAGCGGGGCTCTGCCCACAGCCCAGCCCCGTCCAGACCCCACCACCGGGCTGCGCTGAGCCGTCTGCAGCTCCCAGAGGGCCGTCTTTCCTCCCTGCGGCTGCTGTGCGGGAAGGGGCTGGGATCCCGAGCTAGGAAGTCGGGGTTCGTTCCCAGGGACCAGCCAGGAGCTGCTCCCACTTCCCCTGCCCCAGGGCCTGGGTTTCACCCGCACACGTGACCCAGGCTGCAGCTCAGCGGGTCGGGGGCCCCGTGGACTTACCAGGGGCAGACAGGCACCTCCAGGCCCCTGAGAAGTGGGCCCACCTGCACCCTGGGCTGTGTGTCCATCTGACTCTGCAGTCACTTCCAGGGTTTAAACTGCCCACTCTGGTCCCTCTCAGACTGGACCCCCGGGGCCTGCAGGACTTGTGTCTTTGTGGGCCATCTGCTCTGGAGGCTCCACTGAACAACCTCATGTTGGCAGGACAACCTCGGGACCTGAGGTCCAGCTTAAGCCCTCGGGATGATGGCACACCCGTCTGTGTCTCTCCCTCCTTCGAGGGATCCTCGGCTCCCAGTGGGGGGCCCACTCTTGTCTCTTCTGCGTCTTTCCTGGGATAATGGATGGTTAGCTTGGCTCCCGGCATTCTGACACCTGTTCTTCACCAGCTCTTACCTGGAGTGGACATCAGAGCCTTCAGAGGGCTGGGGTTTTTGTCTATCATGCCAGCTGATACCTGTGTGATGCAACCTGTATGATGAAACCTGTGTGATGAAACAGGATGAAGGGTGCTTCTGGAGCTCTGGCCGGCCCAGGTGAGCTGGCAGAGGAGCGGTTTCCTCGGCACCTCTGTCTCCCACATGCCAGGTGATGGGGTGGATGCACGGGGGTGGGGGGCTGCCTCTCCTCCCGTCTGCGGGTCCCAGGAGTTGGGCAGCCCTGCCTGTCTTGGGCAGACCTCTTCGGGGACAGCTCCCAGGCCCCAGTAGGAATGGCAGTGAAGCAACTCAGGGCCTTCTTGCAGCCCCTCCTCCCGACCCGCCGACTCCCCTCCGCTCTGTCCAACGGGAAGAACGTGTGGTTGTCTGTGATAGAAACCAAGGATCTCCCACTGGGTTTAAGATACACACGTGTATCTCTTTTAAGACAAAGTCTTACACTCTCCTAATTAAAGTTGCTGCTGCTGCTGCTCACTTCAGTCGTGTCTGACTCTCAGCGACCCCACGGACTGCAGCCTACCAGGCTCCTCTGTCCATGGGATTTTCCACACAAGAGTAATTAAAGTTAAAGGTCTTTAAAAACACCCTTCACTTTCTTAAAGTTCCATAATTTTCCATGATAAAATGAAACCAACATGATTCTGCGACGTGTCTTCTGACATCCCCTTGGCCGGCATTAGCTATCTTTGTGTGTTTTTAATTGTTTGCTAGCTTTTGTCTTTAAGCAAAAGACAGAACAGAACACTATGATGTCTTGACAGGCGGAGGAGAGGGAGATTTGTGAGGTACAACAGCAGTGCGGAGTACCAAGTATACTAGAAAAGAGAAAAACAAAGCTTTTCAGTAAAAAAGTAATTCCTGCAATTTTTAAATACACAGTAACTATAAAATAGTAAAGGTAAAGTGAAGTTTGATTTCCTATCCTGGGTCATTGCGTCTTACCAGAGGGGCTTCCCAGGTAGCTCGGTGGTGAAGAATCCGCTGCAGAAGACTGGATTCGATTCCTGGGTCGGGAAGATCCCCTGGAGAAGGAAATGGCCACCCACTCCAGTATTCCTGCTGGGAAGCCCCACGGACAGGGCAGCCTGCTGGGCCACAGTTCATGGGGTTGCAGAGAGTTGGAAGGGACTTAGCATTTGTTTGAGAGGTAGGAATCTGTTTTTAAAGAGTACCAAGGCCATTTATGCAGACGGAACGACACCTGTTCACCGGTTAGGATCAGTGCCTGGAGATTTTCAGAGAAAGGGAAGGTGTGTTTCCGTGGCTCCTTCTCAAAGTTTAGAGCTGGTTATGTAGGTTTGGATAGAACAACCGCTGTGCAGCATCTGATAGCTTCAACCTGCGAAGTGTGACCGCTTAGAAATCAGCATCTGGATTTCCACCTGGGTCGGGAAGATCCCCTGGAGAAGGAAATGGCCACCCACTCCAGTATTCCTGCTGGGAACCCCCACAGACAGGGCAGCCTGCTGGGCCACAGTTCATGGGGTTGCAAGAGTTGGAAGGGACTTAGCATTTGTTTGAGAGGTAGGAATCTGTTTTTAAAGAGTACCAAGGCTATTTATGCAGACAGAACGACACCTGTTCACCGGTTAGGATCAGTGCCTGGAGATGTTCAGAGAAAGGGAAGGTGTGTTTCCGTGGCTCCTTCTCAAAGTTTAGAGTTGGTTATGTAGGTTTGGATAGAACAACCGCTGTGCAGCATCTGATAGCTTCAACCTGCGAAGTGTGACCGCTTAGAAATCAGCATCTGGATTTCCTGAGAATCATCCATCTGAATCAGTTTGAGCCTGTAGGAATGTTATTGGCATAAGGAACGGAGAACTGACGTTCGACCAGCTCGTCATTATTTGCTTTTAACCATCTCAGCTGCTCAGACCATGCATCACAGAAGAGATTGGATGTCTCTTTCTACCATCTGTGGGGAAAGACGGGTCACGAGAGGCGACCAGGGTGCTGGTCCGACTCCCTCAGACACTGAGATCTACTGTCACAAGGGCAATTCATGGGGTGCACAGAGGGAGGCCCCCACTTCTGAGCACGCGGAGAAGACGAGAGCGACGGTTACATGGCTTACCATGGCTTCCTAACCTGGTGTGTGGAGGCATCCACACTGACGTCCATCTGAATTATTTTTGGAAAGGACCGAAGAGCTGGCTCCTAAATGTATTCAAATGTGTTCTAGAGAAGACATTACTCATTGTTTACTGCGGAGGGCTGTTGCTATTTTTGCTCCTGTCTTCAGTGTTTAGGTAGCAGGGCTCAGGCTCCAGGCAGGGGCGGGGCGGAGGGGGATGTCGGGGAGATTGGAGACCAATTTAGAGCTGAAGGAGTCTTCCCAGCAGAGTCCCCAAAGCATTTCCTCCCCAAAACAGTACAAGCAAGAGGACAAAGCGATGATTCTGTTTTCATTATAACTTGTCAATAAATTTGACTTCTCCGCCTCTGGTTTGAAAAAGCATTTCTGACCCACAAAATGCTCACCAGTTTTCCAGCTATATGCAAGATTCTGAATCTCCATGTCTCATCAACTTATGCATTAAAAATGTTGTCCAGAATATTTGCCAGGAGGAAGGCCTGGAGTTTTAGCGTACCACCACCACGGGGAGGCAGACCCTACGTTTAAACTTCCGTGTTTCTCTTTGCGTGTGCAGAATTCCTTCCACAAGTGTTTGCTCAGCTGCTCAGGCGTGTCCAGCTCTTTCTGGCCCCATGCACTATAACTCACCAGCCTCCTCTGCCCATGGGATTTCCCAGGCAAGAACACTGGGGTGGGTTTCCATTTCCTACTCCAGGGGCTCCTTCTGACCCAGGGATCCACTAGCACCACCTGGGAAGCCCCTTCGTGAGTGTTCAGTTCAGTCGCTCAGGCGTGTCTGACTCTTTGCGACCCCATGGACTGCAGCACACCAGGCTTCCCTGTCTATCACCAACTCCCGGAGTTTACTCAAACTCATGTCCTTTGAGTCAGTGATGCCAATCAACCATCTCATCCTCTGTCGCCCCCTTCTCCTCCCGCCTTCAATCTTTCCCAGCATCAGGGTCTTTTCCAGTGAGTCAGTTCTTCGCATCAGGTGGCCAAAGTATTGAGTTTCAGCTTCAGCCTCAGTCCTTCCAATGAATATTCAGGACTCATTTCCTTTAGGATGGACTGGTTGGATCTCCTTGCTGTCCAAGGGCTTCAAGAGTCTTCTCCAACACCACAGTTCAAAAGCATCAGTTCATGAGTATAGTTACCTGCTAGTGGAGCAAGGATGGCCTTTGTGTGTGTGTGCTGTGGCTCTGAGCCCCAGAATGAAGAGTGGGAGTTTCTGCTCACCCTGGCTGAAAAAATTGCATATATTGTGCTCTCACACCATGAGCAAGCTGGGCTGTGTTGTGAGTTCTGCATCTGATTGCAGGTATGGAATTTCAGGTATGTTTCTGGCAGTGAACACACACCCCTCCCCTGGGACAGTAGGACTATGTGTTAGGAGACCTTCACAGGAGAAGCCTGGGAGTGTTTCAAGCAGGAAGGACATGCCTGAAGCCACGGATGGAACCAATCAATGCTGACTTGAGAATGCCATCTCACTTAGACAGCAAGCACAAACGATCAATTCTTAGCTTTGCATGCTGGAGCAGAGTAGTTGCCTTTAAGCAGAACTGCCGGTCTGACAAAATCGCCAGGCTCTCCAAAGGGGCCGGACTGGGAGAGCAGTGGCCTCAGAGAGCCTGCGTGCCCTTAGAGCCAGCTCTTGACAGCCCCACCGTGCCTCCATGAGTCTGTCCCAGCCACGAGGATGCCAGGCAGGCTGCAGCGGCCTGGATGACCCGCCCTTCAAACCTTGTCCTGTCTACCTTTCTCTTTCCTACCTCTCCTCTTCAGGGGGGACCTTGCCCCTTCACTCCCTCCCGTCCTCATCCTTTGCCACCATCGCCACCCTGACCAGCACTAACCCAGTGAAAATCCTGCAGAGTCAGGATCTCCAGCATCTGCTATTTTTGCAGTACCTCCTAGATTGGCTAACTTGAACTCATTAACATTGATGTGTTACTTTAAATAAGCCTTTGTCTTCTTGCAGAGCAAAAGCTGCTTCTTTGTTCAAGAAATGTCAGGCATTCGTTAGTAAGGAGAAGCTTGTGAGAGGGAGCTGGACTCCTTATCCCGCTTCCAGCCCTGAATAGGAAACTGACCCAGACTTAGGGCTGTGGGCCCCCCACCCTGCCCCCCACCTCCTCCTTCTCTTGGGAGACTGGTTATAGCTGCTGAAGGCTTAGGTCCAGTGTCGACAAGTCCGGTTATGTGCTTGTAGCTCTAAGGAGCAGACTGCACTCAGGGTCTCACGCTGCAGTTTCCGGCTGTGCAATCTTGTGCATTTTACCTCAGAACTTCATCCTCTTTATAAAACATTATGCATAATTGTAATTATATAATTGAAATTATGTACAATGATAGATGAGTGCATATGCTTATAAATATTATATATATATAACATACATATATATGTTTATAATAACATATATGGTATGTTTATATATAACATATATGGTATGTTTATATATAACATATATAAATGTTATATATATATGTATATATAGTTGATGTTTGTTGTATGTAATCACTTCAGTCATGTTCATTTCTTTTATGACCCCATGGACTATAGCCCACCAGGCTCCTCTGTCCATGAGATTTTCCAGCAAGAATACTGGAGTGGGTTGCCATGCCCTCCTCCAGGGGGTCTTCCCGACCCAGGGATCGAACCCACATCTCCTGAATTGCAGGTGGATTCCTTACCACTGAGCTACATGGGAAGCCTCTCTCTCTCTCTCTCTCTACATATACATATATATATATATATATACACACACACATACATATATATGTACATATATATATGTATATATATACATACATACCTATATATATATATGTGTATATATATATATATATATGTTTACCTGAGTTTCACACTTTCCCCCAGATAGCATACTTACTTTTTAGACCCAACTTGCTCTCA